GGAGAAAAATAACACAAATTATAAGATATACTCATCTGAACCCCGGTCCCTGCAGCCTCCCTCTCCACTCCAGTGATGGAATGTCCCCCGGCATGCTCATGTCCAACACACTGTATTGGTGATGATTCACAGGACCTTAGACCGCCGAAGTGGAGGGGGAGCGAGGCTGCAGGGACCAGTCTAGCAGCTAGCTGGATCCGTGGTTCAGGTGAGTATATCTTTGTTATATTTACCCCTAGACAAGAATGAGCAATTAACCCTTGCAGGGGGTAGCCCCCCTGCAAGGGTTAAGATAATTACTGCCTGGAGTTCTTCTTTAAACCTTCAGGTTATGCTGCCTACTACAGGAGGATTGAACACTCTGTTCTGATTAAGCTAGCTGTGGAGTGCTTTCCAGATACTGAGCCACTGGCATTGCGCCTGTGCTTGCCCTGTCTCTGAAGACTTTTACTTCGTGAGTTGGCCATTCAGGCCAGGCACCGGGACCTCCCGCATTTGTATTGGTTGCTGGTCTCCATTATTTCCTATTTTCCTCTGGCTCTGCTGTGGATGGAGTTAACACTGTGGGACATAGAGCTGATGTCATCCTGCTTGTCCACTCGCATTCTCTTTCCTGGAACTTTTGATCCAGATCTAGTCCTGCTGCCTGCCTGGCATTGGTCGTCTTCGGCCACTGAACCCTTCAGTTGTAAAGCTTCACCTGCTACTAGCAGTCCAGGTTTCATGAGTATCTCTAACTTTAGGCCTGTATGTTGCTTACTGTACTATGAAGGGGTGGGGAGGGTGGGCACTCCTGCTGTACCGGTTGCTCCTAGCATCCTCTCTACTAACAGTCAGGGACGGCTTGCTTGCAGTACACCTCCAGATATTGGCGATGTCAGTAACCTGGAATCATGCTGCCCTCTGATTTTAGAGTCCCTTCCCTCATTGGAGTCCTCTTTGGCTGTGTCAGGTGTGGTGGGTCCTCTGCTTTTTTTTGGCTGAGATTTTTACCACAGTGGTGCAGACTTTATGGCCTGATTTACCCAGCTGTTTTCAGACTTGCAGAGGCCGCTACCGCACCCTCACCAGCAGATTTTGTGTCTTATGTGCCTGTGGCCTTAGCAGCTTCTGAACCATCGGTCACAGAAACTTTGATTCTGAATCGCTTTAGTCTTTGACTCCCTGAGAAGTTGCAGTCCACTGCTATTACTCCCTAGTCAAAGGAGACAATTTCACCTCTCATTGCTGCAGTGCACACCATTTTGAAAGCCTTAGTAGCAGCCTCTCACTTCCGCTAGTGCTACTACTACTACCTTTGGCCTTGGTTCTCATAGGACTCCTAAGGCTGCAAACACCTTTTTTCTTCCAGTGGGTACAAATACAAAGATTAAAAATGCTCTAATAGACTTTTTGCTTCCCCTGAGGGGATCTCTGTACCTGCTTAGTGAGGATTTTGTTCAGGAATGGTTTATTCCCACTGTGGTTCCTCTTGTATGAGGCTACCATGAAAGACGCTCCTGTTCTTGGGGACCTAACTGATAAATGTCTGCATGGCCTTTATAGAACTCTTTTATTCTTTGGTGGGTCCTGCCCTACACCCAGTCTTGGCTATAATCTTGTTTTGCCAAACCATGTCTGATTTTCTTAAAAACGGGATCTTACTGCTGCTGCCGTTGACCCTCAGAACATTGACCACATGGAACATGTGTTCGTGGCATTAAACTCTAGTTTTGATGGCTTTTTAGAAGTCGTCCAACCCTCTGCTTCTGCAAGAGGGTCTTGGGCTGATGACAGCCTCCTTCAAGGCTGTTCCTTTTGCCATGATCCACTCCAGTCAGTAGTTCCATGTAAAATCCCGCTTTGGATAAAAAAAAGGCATTAAGTAGGTGGCAGCATTGCCTCCTGAAGACCTGGAAGCTGCTGCTCTACCACCGTCTGAATAGCGATACATCATGTATTGCTTTTCAGAGGGACAGTAAAGTGTGCTGCCTGTGTGAAGGAGACCTTACAGATGGACCAGGTCCCTGGGCCAATGTAAATCCTGTGCTTATGTGCAGCAGTTAGATAGCAATCCTGTCTAACTTTGCTACCCTGTGAAGCAAACCATCGCGATGTGGCAATGTGTAAAGCTCACTTGTCAGGGGGTAGCCAGAAAAGCAATAGAAATGCCAATTAACAGCCTGTTTTTAGTGTCCCCTGGGTCACCTGTGTGAACAAGCTGCGAGCTGAGAGTGCATACTGCATGGCACATACGCATACAGGACACACAGAAAATAAAAAATTGCTTGGGGAAAGAGAACAGTTTTTTGGCAGAACAGATTTTGCAAGGCTCTCCTCCCAAAAATTTCGACCTCCTAGCATTTTTTTTTATTTCTAGAGTTTATTTCTAATTTTTCACTTCCACATTGTATAGCATGCATGCACTTAACATGATGATGCAGGCTCCAGTTTAAGGTGCAGCCAGATCTCTCCTGCATAAATGTCTGTTTCCCTTTGCGATATGCTGTTAGTATATTTCTGGTGGACCGCTTGGCCGGGAATCACAAGAGCTCTGCATATACATAGGCACAAGTCACTGGCAACTCTCTCCTCCTGGGCTTTCCCACATAGCTCTCTATCTGTTTGATTTCCCGGAGACACACGTGGGAGGAAGCCTACAGCTTGAGGGGACAGAGTCCTTCACGCACTGTTTGTCTAGCAATCCTCCGGGGTGTTTGCTTAATGTATTCTGTTCCCACAGTCTTTGAAAACAAGAGGCCAGAGTGTCAATGGAGAATGGCTGTGATCACATCACACTAAGGAGCCCCTTGGGAAAGCGTCCTCCTTGTTTTCCCTTCTCTCCCATTGCTCTTCCAGCCAGGAAACAAACACAGGGCTCAGTTTGTGGAGCAGTGATAACAGATCCTTTCTATCTCCACAACCTGCTCTCTGTATTGCCAGCCATGGTGGGTGATATTATCTGCTTGTCACATCTATAAATCAGGCCTAAACACCTATGTAATAACATGCACTGTGCTATTCTGTTAGCTTATCCATGCTCACAGTGCGGATTCCCAGGGTTATTTATTTTGTATAAGAATCCCCCTCTTATCTTTTGTTTCACTCCACTGAGTACTTCCCGTGTTTACAGCCCAGATAACAATAGCCACAGAGGCAATCTGTAGCTACAGACAGAATGGAAGAGTAAGAAAATCGCTATGTCTGTGGTTACTAGCAGAGGTGGATGCTGGAACATTAAGGCCTCATTCACACTGCCATACAATACGCTGCGTATATGTGCGTATGCGCGTATTGTTCCATATGCAGCATATGCAAATAAATGGCTCCATACATATAGCTGCTTATGGAGCCGTATATTTGCGCTGCGTAAAGATGCGCAACAACAGAATGGACCCGAGATGCGTCCTGGCAACATATTTCTGCGTATTTTGCGCGCGTATACGTACGTACAGTTCATTAAAATGTCTATAGTGAATGATGCATTCCGGGATTGCATATAGTGCACACATATACACGCATATACGCAATATACAATTTTGCTCTTGCGTTGTGTGTGCATGAGGCCTAAGGGAAATTTATAGTGCATTTTCAGTAAGCGTGTATGTGGCAGTGCATGGCAATGCCACTGTGTTATCTCCATTCCTGTGTCCAGAATTTGAGTGGCCAGTGCATGCTGATGGTACAGGTGTGCACAGCCTTTAATATAAAGGTGTTGGGAAGGGCTCAGGGCTCCACCTGGTAGACAGGAAGGCTCCACCCAGGATTCAGAGTGGAGTCCAGTGCAGCAGGGTGCTGCGGGTTGAAAGAATAAAATGTGCAGGATAGCATAAAACTGTGACTGTCTGGAGGTACAGACAGTGGGCTGAGTCCGGAGCAGCTGTGCTGCAAATGCAAAGCCAGGAGGCTGGATGGGCAGGTGCTGCCTCCGATCCAGCGCTGACTCCTCTGTCCTCCTCTTCGCTCATGTCCCACGTTGTCTGTGCACGCTGCTCCATAGACTTACCTTGTGTCTCTCCTCATCTCCCGGCCGAACATCTGAAGTGTGCATGCGCCCGCCTCAAGATCCTTTGCGGCCGCCCGATAAATTTTCAGATGTTTGGACGGGAGCGCGCGGCGGAGACACAGGTAAGTATTAACCCTTTGAAAAATATATCTTCTGCTTGCTAGCCATAGATAGATATATGCAAAAACATGCTGAGGGTTTCATAACCCTTTAAGTGACTGTGGAAAGGTTATACAATAAAAGTGACCACTGCGCTGGCAGTCACAGACATAAATGTACAGGGTAGTCTTATGCCTGGGCAATCCCTAAATGTTCTGACATGTGCTTATTTCAATATACACTTAAATGTTGATTTGATGGTTGTCCGTACTTCCGGACTGTTCAAACTTTTTATCGTGGTGCTATTTATCCTAAATGGCAGCCCCACATACTAAGGCGATGCACCCGTGTTACCATGCTTGGTTATGTGTTGCGCTACTAAAATAGGGTTGGGTATAACATTTTGCACCTTCAGGTACATTGGCAGCCTATTCATTTCAATGGGGTTTCCTAGCACAACACACATTTATTGCACCACAAAGAAGTAAATGGGCCCTCAAAGGGACACGTCTCCAACAGAAATGAAAAACGAATATCTTATTTAATAGTGTTTCAGATGTCTTTTTATTCCTTGTTAATTGAGATGTTATGTAGGGGGGTTTGATATAGGAAACGTTAGATTTCTTCCGTGAACTGCTTCTCACTTGTGAGCTGCACGGAGCATGAACTAAAGTGCGGTAGCGTGCTCTGCGGCAGACACTGGCAGAGTTTTTCATGCATGTACAGCAATGGGCAGATGTTGAATCTTGTTCGAGATAAATGATGAAGACACACTGTCTGCATTGTGTCTCAGTACATAGCTGGGTTGTTACAGTCAGTGTTTATGTCTCAGTAGACAGTTCGAGGGATGATGCAAGCTTTGTGTCACGCCGTCTCCATCCACTCTGCTTTCTAATGAGACTCTCTTGTATTCCAGGGAGATTTGATACATTTGTGATAGAGGAGAGACGTCAGTGTGCTGAAGATTTGCTCCAATTCTCTGCCAACATCCCGGCACTTTACAACAGCTCGCAGCTGGAGGAGTTCTTTAGGGTAAATATCAGCGACCGCAATATCGGGGAACTTGTGGTCACTTGTATCCTATTAAGCCATCTTTATTTTACCTACATACGCATTTTCTAGAAAGACCCCAGTTTGAGGGCCGCTTACAGATTGCGTGGTGACCAGCGTTGTACCGCAAAGGATCAGTGCAGGTCACCGCAAGGGCATCTAGAAGACAATTGTTCACAAGTGTGATGGGCGATGCGCTGCGCTAGAATGCAAACATGTTGCATTTTATCACAGCACACTGCATACCACCACAAGTCTCCACACGGTTAGCAGGGACCTGAATGGAGTGTACACATTGTACACTACCAATAAAATTTTAAAAAATATATAAACAATAACAGCTGCCACAACACACCATTTAAAGTGACATTAAACCCTCAGATTTTTTAACATACCGTGTTTCCCCGAAAATAAGACACTGTCTTATATTTTTTTCCCCCCAAAAAAACACACTAGGTCTTATTTTCGGTGGTAGGTCTTATATTACTGAAATCCCTGAAGATAGGGATAGGTCTTATTTTCGGGGTAGGTCTTACTTTCGGGGAAACACGGTAAAACAATACTGTAATGTGTGCCTTACTGTAATCAATGGTTGTTTCCCTTCTCTTTGCTGCTCTTCCTTTTAAATTTGTATCTGTTCTCATGCTGGGCAGAACTTCTGTTTTGCACCAGACTGCCTTGTCTCAGGAATGGATACACGATGTCTGTGTATAGGTTTTTATGGGCTTGTAACCTGAGCCAGCACTACAGGAAGAGGCACTCAGCTGCAAAGGGAAGTTCTCCCCAAGCATGAGAAGACATGAGGATTTAAAAGGAAGAGCAGCAAAGAGAAGGGAAACAACCATGGATTACAGTAAGGCACACATTACAGTATTGGTTTATGTTAACAAATCTGAGGGTTTAATGTCACTTTAAGCATATTAAAACGTATTCAATGTATTCTGAGTGCATCTGGTGTCTATTTTTAGAATGCAGTTAGTTTAAGTACCCAACCTTACCTCGATCTCAGCCTCCTGTAATCCCAGAACAGTAACTCATACAGGAAGAGAGAGAAGCAGGACTCTGAGCCAATCAGGCTTTGCTGCAGGGCACCTGTTCTGGCAGTGAAAGGAGAGGTGGCCTCATAAGTCTGCTTCTGCTCCTTCATTGTCCAATCAGCAGGCTGAGGGTGAGTTCTTGACCCCGCTGTGCTGAGTAAACCACAATATTTTGAAACAAGTGAAAGCAATCAGTGAGCTACGGCACATAACCGTTAATGAAGCTGCCAGAGAAGTAGTTGAGGGGAATATTATAGAGCAAGTGTATGCAAAGTCCAACCCTCCATATGTGGCGAAATTACAAATCCCATCATGCCTCTCCTCTGGCTGTCAGAGTCTAGCAATGTCTAATGGGATTTGTACAGCTGGAGGGCTGACGTTTGCCTACCCCTGCTATAGAGTGTCACTTAAGTGACAGCTCTGAAACTGCTGGCGCTGCTAACATCATATCCAAGATGGAAGTGCCAGGGCTTTTGTATGTCTACTTAAGGGAGGGTTTCATAGCTAGTTGAAATTGCCTGTAAATTGCTGTGTGTATACTCAGCATTTAGGTGCCCACTAAATCCATATGATCTTTGTACTGTCTGGCAGCATACTACTTCCTCTCCTCTCAAAGCTGGGACATTGCAGCCTTGCAGAAAAGCAGACAGTGGATTAGTTTAATGATCTGAGCACATGCTCCTAATTTACAGGACACAGTTATTAGGCAGTAGCAGTTTGACAATCAAAATCATGTGGAGAGAGCGGCAGAAGTACAGTGACTTCGGATGAGCTGGTAAGTTAGAGGCCCTATGGGACTGTTCTCCATTGATTAGCCGAAGGTATCGATCAGAAAACTAAAACTTCCATTAGTTGACTAAGTATCCTTGATAGACAAAATGTGGGCTCTTGTAGATCGCTTTGTTCTTCTGCATGTGAGTTGCTTTGGTTGACTTTTAATTGATTTTTAATTTTGCAGTGTGGATAACCACTGGCAAGCTGTGTGTGACGTTTCGCTTTGCATTTTTTGGATGCCATATGGCCACTGAGGGGTGTGGCCACTGAGGGGTGTGGCCACTGAGGGGTGTGGTTACTGAGGGGCGCGGTCACTGAGGGGCGCTGTAAAGCTTTCTCGCACACGGCGCCTAAAGGCCTAAGGCCGGCCCTGCATAGGTACTAATAAAACTGGTTTAGTTGCTATGAAAAGCAGGTCAGATGTTACCCCTGTGCTTGAATGCATGCGTTTAGGTAATGCTGTGCTCAGGTGCCAAATGCATTGTTTGTAAATAAGACCGCAGTTGTTAGAGCTGCATTCCTGTCCACGCTTTATACAAGGATGAACAATATGTAGAGTACAAAATGGAAAGTATTCGGCTGAATGACCATGGTGACTGCTGACCATGACACCACTGAGTGTAGCTTTTGCTGTTTAATTTGAGATACGAGCTGTATAAAATCTGCATCTAGATACCTTTTGTAATTCATTTTCTGTTTCCATGCAGGGTGGAGAGGTACATGATGGGTCCGATCTGATTGGCCCTGCCGAGCCTTTTACAGACTACCCTGACAGCCTGTCTGACTGTAGTTCTGAAGGTGAGGGTGATTACTGCTTTATAGATATGCATATCTTTTGCTGTTATATGCATAAATACCGTACATTTATACACACAATGGGGAAAAAAAGATCATTGCTGTTTGCAAATTCTACATTGCTGTCTATTTTACACAGTCGGCACTGCCAGAAATGTGAAGAAGGGGCTGTACAGACATCAGTATGTGAATCCGTATGCCACATTTCTGGTGGTATTGCTGTGTTTGGAAGTCTAGTGTCAAATTCATGTAATCTGTGCAACACTTTCAGAAATCATTCTGACACGAGCAGCAGATTAAAATAGTTATTTCTGACACTATGTTGTGACACATTTAGTAAGAAATACCACTAAGGAAACTGTTGTTTAATAATATGACCATGTTGATCTTATTTGCCCCCAGTTATTGAAGCCCCTTTCCCTGTCACTGGTTGCTAGGATGCTGTCTGCTGCACAATGTCATTGGTTGTAGAGCTGCAGCTAACGATTATTTTCAAAATCGATTAGTTAGCCGATTATTAAGTTCGATTAATCGGTTAATCGGATAAACAATAAAATAAAGTTTAAAAAATGGCTCCAGTGATAGGACTACTAGTTTGTATTGAGATTGTAGTCCATCACAGGAGCAAGCTTGGAGCGGTGGAAGTAAAAAAGAAAAAAAAAGATAGTGTGGTGTGCAATATAGTGAAATGGAAAGTGTAAAATTATACAGCAATGAATGCAGAATGGCACCGGCTATGGAGGACTACAAAACCCAGCAAAAGCACATTATACAGCGCAATGCAGAACACCGCCAGCTATAGAGGAATACAACAAATCCCATCAATAGTACACAATAGCTGGCGGCATTCTGCATTGCGCTGTATAATGTACTATTGCTGGGTTTTGTAGTCCTCTATAGCTGGTGGTATTTAGCATTGTACCACTTTATAGTGTACTATTGCTGGGATTTGTTGTAGTCCTCTATAGCTGGCGGCATTCCGCATTGCGCTGTATAATGTATTATTGCTGGGACTTGTAGTCCTCTATACAGCGCAATGCAGAATATCACCAGCTATAGAGGAGTACAACAAATCCCAGCAATACATTATACATACAGTGTATAATGCATTGCTGGTATTTGTATTCCTATGTATAATGTACAGTACAATGTACCATCAGCTATAGAGAAATACAAATCCCAGCAATACATTATAGAGCACCATGTGTGGGAAAGTGCAGGCTTACCTGAGCAGTCTTCCAGCAACTTGCTTCTGAGATCGGACCTGTCTATCAGCGGCTGTCATCCCCCCACCCCTGCTCCTCCTTACTACATCTCCCCGCGTGCCTTGCCGATCGTGGATGGGCAGGAAATGTGAGGCGGGGAGGAGGTGGAGCGTGGATGCGAGCGGGTCTGGCAGCGGCGAGCGTGAGGTGGGGAGGAGGTGCGGCGCACAGCGTGTGGAGCTGTGAACAGGGCCAACTGATCGGAAGCCGATTAATCGATTATTGAAAAAGTTGACAACTTTTTCAATAATCGATTATAATCGATTATGTCGATTAGTTGTTGCAGCCCTAATTGGTTGGTTGCTAGGACGCAGGTAACCACTAGTGTCCAGGCAAACAATGGTGTGGGACTAAACTTACTACATCCTAGTAACAGCCGTGCAAACTGTTGGCACTAAATAAATCCTGAATAATATAATACTGTAATAATAATTGTATTTGGACTGTCAGCCCGCTAGTGGCTATTTAATCTTTCCAAGTTGTTAAAGTGGCATCAGGAAATAAAAAGCAGGCACCTGGGTGCCACATGTCTTTATGTGCTCAACCACAATAGGAGACCTGAAACCTGATCTGTTATCCAAATCTTGGCCTAATCCTTTTGCTGCCAACGACGTATGCTGTACGTTGCTGGCAACGTGCCCTTGTAAACAGACTGATGACTTTCCACTGGAAGCAAATTCAGGCGCCACATCGCTTCCAGGGGCCAGTAAATAGGTGCACCCCTCGCCTTGCTTCCTGGGTTCCGCTGGCCTTCCTGTGGGTCTGGGACTTGCATCGCAGGTTTCAGCAGGTAGTTGAGGGAGAGATACGTGAATCTCCATTCGCTGATGATCTCCCCGCTGAACGAAACTGTGAGCTGTCATTCCCCAGCTAGAGAAGCCAGAGAAGAAGGTGATCAAGCACGATCTGGGCTTGACCAGCTTCAGTGGGCTGAAAAGGTGACATTAGTTCTCTAACAGACCTAATGTCACCTCCAATGTGCTATCACATAGGGGGCTTGTGAGCTCCCATGTGGTAGCAATGAAGTAAAGTAAAAATAAAAAAAAGTTTAAAGAAATAGATAAATTTAAAAACGCCCAAAAACATTTAAAGTCCCCTGTCCTCGTGAACACGCACATACTAACTCAAACCCGCGTTGGGTGCACCTTTGTACAAGAACGTCATTTGAGCCACACACGTTAGATATCACCGCGTGTGCTGTAGTGAGAGCAATAATTCTAGGGACAATATTCACAGTTAACTCTATATTGACCTGTAGAGCTTTTACAGCCTGGCCTGTGGACAATTCGGGGTACCGTATTTTGTCGCTGTTTCATGGGTGCACGTAGTTGTCAAGCTTGACATGTTGGGCATCTATTTGCTCGGCACAACCTCTTCTTTTATAATTGTACAAAGAAATTCGGTATTGTGTTTTTGTGCACTAAAATTAACTTGTGTATTTTCTACTGCAATTTTGCGTTTGATAAAGAGTTGCGCTAATATCATACGACATATAAATTTGCAACTGCCAATTTTTATTTTCTACAGGATCTGTGCTTTTCAGGAAAGAAATAATTCAGGGGGGTTTTAAATTGTCTAAAATGTGGATTATAATATGGGTGCAAAAAACACAAAAATGACTCTGGCAACAAAAGAGTTAAATACTTTTTTTTTTTACATTATATTGTCAAAAAGATCAGCTAAATGAAATAATCTTTTTGGAATGTGTTTGTTTCAGAAAACTTAGTTTATTTTGCTATGCTCCTGTAAAGATTCACAATGTTTTATATACATTTATATAGTTGTCACCTCTTTGGTGTCTGCTCTCAATTTTTGATGGCTGTTTATTAGCTCAAAGTGTAAGTATTTACATGTCACGTGTTGCAATCAGCATTTGTGAATATAGTTTGCTTAATTACTTCATTGTAAAGTCCTTTTCTGTACTTTCTACCTGGAGATTGTACCAGCTACCAGGACTGTCTAATTTGGTTTTCTGAAAAGGGTGACAACTCAACCCCCCTGCAATGTGTTAGCAGTAATATCTTGGGACGGCACCATACTGACACACGTCATGCTTGTAGTCTTCCTGTAGTCAATGCACGTCAGCTGGCCCATCAGCTATAGCCACACTTCGTGCACTGCCCTACCATGCTTGATGGATGAGAGTTCCCCAAGCAACATGTTCTTACCCCAACAAATGAATGAAAATAAAAAATCAAGTCTATGACTATGCAGTGACATCACCAGCTTCTCCCCAATTGCTGGCCTTGTAGGCACAAAAGCTGTGATATAGCTGTCGTATGGCTGCTCCATGCAGATTGGGTAGTCCTGCATATCTAGAGGCTCTGTTTTTTATTTTTAAAAATTCAAAAACACACCATCTATAAAGAGAACCTTTTATACTCGACTGTCCCGGCACCCTAAGTCCGATCTTTGCTCTTTAGCATCTGACAAATTTCCAAGAGTGTTTACTGCCACATTGTGGTTGCATGTTGTAGCTCCTATGCACTACTGTATCCTGTAGAGACTAAGGAGCCGGGGAATGGAGTCTCAGGAAGCATGGTGGGACAGGTCAATAGTCTTGTTTTGCAGTTGGTGTGTTTTTTCTTTTTTTCCCCTTTCATTTTTATTTCCTTTCAGGGCTTGTTCACACCATGAACAGTTTGTTCCCGGACCAAAAAAGCATCCCAATATATCCCTATGGTATTTCGGGGCTCTGTTTACACCAATGCAGTCCATTCCGGTCCAGACAAAAAAATAAAATACTGCTAGTCTCCTTTTCTGGTCTGGAATGCACTGGAACCTGTGGAAAGGTATAAAAACACTGCACTGCATTTGCAGATCTGGTCCGGACATGGTGTAAACATAAGTAGAAAGGTTCTTGTTGCACTCCTTACCGGAGATCCCATGTAATGGGAATGGTGCTCGTAATGACTGCGGATGGTACTGCTGTATGCATAAGATAAATGTGAAAGATGTCACCAGCACACCGAAGATCCTTTTGGAATCGCCAAATGCTCATTTTATTGAACAAGTTGTCAGAATGGATACGAGCGCTTTCGGGGCCTCGCAGGGTCCCTTCATCAGGCTTCAGCGAGGTCCCGAAAGCGCTCGTATCCATTCTGACAACTTGTTCAATAAAATGAGCATTTGGCGATTCCAAAAGGATCTTCGGTGTGCTGGTGACATCTTTCACATTTATGGTGTGAACCCAGCCTCAAGACGTGCCAAAGTTACCTTAAGGAAACGGACAAGTTTACTTTGAATTATTCCTGGAGGAACCTCTATAGAAAACGTAATGTCAAGCTTAAAAATTAAGAACACGTCCTTGAATTTAATCAGCTTCCTTTAGTCAACTTTTGAATGATCCGTCTTATTTTTTGACGTATTGGGAATTGGAAAAGCGGATTCGTTGTTATCGGATATTTTTTAGCTTTGCCTCTTGGGGGCAGTGTTGCTTTACCTTGCATCCCCTTCGAGGCTGTGCTGTGGCTACGCCGATGACAAGCTTAATGCGTAAATATTTGAAATTTAGTCTAGTGTCAGAATCTGGGAAACATCTGTGATTGAGAGATGCAAATTTGAAATGTTAACAGTATTCAAACCGGCCTTCAAAACACTTGAAAAATGAATACCTGTTTTTTTTTTTCCCCCCGTTCCATTTTATTTTATTTTTTTTATTCTTAAGTGACAGTACCAATTAAGTGTTGTGGCACTCAGCAACAATGATTGCACATAATACAGCTGTCAATGGTGACC